TGCGTAGGATCCCCTTAACTAACGATTTAGTTTCTTTCACATTTTCCACGGCTAATCTTATATATAGGTAATGGTGGATGGAGTGCAAAAAGTTACTCCATGCTCTCCAGGCGATCAGGGGGCCATGGAAATGACCTGGGTGGATGTAAACCCAGATGAGCTCCTTGAGCCTCCGCTTGTTCTCAAAGACTTTGTTAAGGCTGTCAAGGGATCTCGACCGACTGTTAGCCCCGAAGACCTTGCCAAAAGTGCAGAGTGGACCGCTTTGTTTGGAAGCGAGGGCGCTTAGTTTCCTACTGCCTCGCGTTCACAACAAGCTCCAGTTATCTATTGCGCTCTCCTCATGCGCGTATTTTCCCTTACAGTTGGGATATCATGTTGAAAGACTTCCTAGTTACCCCCAGTCATTGTCGTATTAGCGAACGGAGTAATGAACCAATTATCAGATTAAGCCGCAAAAATTACTCATAGCCAGTTTTGATATACAACTTGCCAAACAACGCAGCCTATTGCCTCATATAAACAGATTCCTATACCCAGACGCCGGAACCAAACACCGGATTTTGCCTCCTCCTGCAGAGGAAATGAACGCTATCAACCTAATTAACAATAGAGAAGTATTTAATCAATACGACCCAGAGAAACAGCAAAAAGATCCATTAATCGTTGATAAAGAAATCTTCTGCGATATGTACCTCATCTCTGCAGTGCTCTTCCGTGTTTTCTGTGCTGGTCTTTCTTGGCTCTCTTGACCAGATCTCCTATTTGTGAGTTCTTCTTCCATTCGATTGTCACTCTCTTTGCTCGGGCGATGAACAGTGCGACTGAAATACCAGCTCTGAATTTCTGGATAGGACTCAGTTGCTCGGTGGCTTCAGATACCACTATACCCATATTAGCTATCATCTGGCGCTCTATTTGGGCACTGCTCAAACAATGTTAGCTTGGAACTATCATGTCACCGCTGGTGAAGAAAAGACACATACCACGTAGTTCTAATCCTCTCTTGTTCTCTGTACTGCGATACTTCCTTGTACCAGGCAAGGTCTCTACGGAACTGCTCTGCTCGGATCAAACGTACTTGATTCCAGAGAAGCTCCATTCGCAGAACCTCCAATTCCCTGTCATGTCGACTCTTCTGTTTTTCCAATTGCTTCGACATCTCTTGAATAGCTTTGGGATGGCGGTCTTGCAGTAACCGTATCCTACGATCCGCTGCGTTGAGGTTCTTAAGAGCAGTAGATCGCTCCCCACGTATTCGTTGGATGTCACCTTCGAGCTCACGAATGCGGGCTTCACGTCTCGATAACTTGGCCGCGATGGATTCTGGATCGAACGTAGAAAGATCAAGTACTTCACTAAAGTTCTGGCTCTCCTCGTTGGCAGAATACCTTTGCTGTTCAAGTTCACGGTTTTTGGCCTTTAGTTCCTTCAAGGCTTTGTGAGCTTCAATATTTTGAGCACGGAGATTTCGCAATTCTTCCTCGAGCCGTGAAGCGGGGGAAGAGGGAATCGGAGAGCTGCCTTCATATTTCGCAACCTGAAGATCATGGTTCTCTTTTTCTAAATCAGTGATACGAGTCTTGAGCAGTCGAATAGATGATTTCAAGTCTGATTCTCGCTGGAGGATAATTCTCTCACGCTCCCGAGTTTCGGCTAGGCATTGGCGGAATATTGACGCATCAGCATGTTCGGGGGGAGACGCAGGCTCCGGTGGCACAGGGTTATGAAGATGAGCTTCAAGCTCCTTGAGGCGAGCTTCAAGTCGAGTAGTCTTGCTCCTATATGAAAGAAGCTCGCGATCTTTCTTATCATCAGCCATAAATAACTTGTCTTGTAATCGGCTGATTTCTGCAGCCAGGCGCTCCTCCTCTGCCGCAGCACGGACAAGCTCATTGTCTACCTCATTCTGAAGGGCATCTTTGGCTTCCTGCAATGAAATTTTCTCAGTGTTTAGCCGAATAACGTCTCGTTCTAGACGTAACTTTGCCTTCTTCAACTCCAGTTTTTCATGATCTACTCGAGTTGCATCGCCGACATGGTCATATTGAGCAAGTTCATCTTGGAGGCCATCCCTCTCAGCTTCTACCTCAGCAAGGGTAACTCGGAGTTCATTGAGCGCCGATTTCGTGGCAGTAAGTTCTTCTCTAAGGACCTGCTTCTCCTGTGCAATACTCTGTAGGTGGCCGCCAGTGTCTAAGCTGCCAGCCTTCCGTTGAGCCAAAGCATACTGTTGCTCTTCTTCCAAGCTGGCCTGCAGGACAATAATTTCGTCTTCCAAACCCTGAACTTTTTCCTTGAGGGTTTGTTCTTCACGCCGGCTGACTCTGAGCTGTTCCTTCAGGGAGAGTAGCTCAGATCGTTGAGTTTCGGATGCCTCCCTTCTAGATGAAATGTCATCATTGAGCTCTTTTATCTGACGAGTGAGGAGTTCTTCCTGTTGGAGACGACGTTGTTTCTCGCTGTCAATGATGTCTTGCAATCTCTTCTCCCGCCCAGACTTTGTCGTTTCCATTTGTTGAAGACTGTCAACTGTTCGTTTATGTGCCTCAGCTTGTTGCAGTGCCCGGTCCCGTTCCAGCTCTAGTGATCGCTTGATGTTTTCCCATTTGTCCAAGTCCGAATTGAATAACGAGTCCTTCTTGTCTACCTCACGACGAAGTGTCGTAATCTGCAAGTTTAGTCGATCAATCTCATCTTTGTGGCGGTTTCTCATTTCTTCCAACGTATTCAGCGATTCTTGTCGTTCAGCTGCAGCGTCTTCCTCCAGCTCGGCAATAGCCCTCTTTGCTCGATCCAGATCCCCCTGAAGGGCTTTTGATTCGTTTGTTAAAGCATCGTGCCTGGTTTGAAGCAGGGTCTTTGTTTCTCCTTTGTGTTGTAATTCATCCTCAAGAGCCTGAAGGCGAGCTAAAGTGGACTTCTGGTCACGAATTGCAATTGCTTTCTCATGACGAGCCTGCTCAAGCTCGTGCTGCAGATCAGATTTGGCAGATGAAAGCTCCTGCTTAAGATCTTCGATCCGCTCTTGCAATCTATTTTCAGAATGCATTTTATCCTCAATATTTCCTTGACAACCGGCATGTTCTTTCTGAAGGAAGATCAGTTCGCGTTCTGTCGACGAGTTCTCTTGCCTGAGGTCCTTGATTTGCTCCTGTAAGCGGTGTTCGAACTGTGCTTTATCCTCCAGTTTTTCTTGGAGGGTGGCATATTGCTGTCGAACAGTGGTAAGCTCGGACTCCAGTTTATTTGCTCTCTCCTCCAATTGACGAGTCAGCCCTGAAGCAGAAATGGATTTATTCGCCATCTCGTCTTGAAGTTCTCTCAAGTCTTCGACAGCTTGTTCTTTTTCCTGGAGAGCTTGCTCGCAAGCCGTTTCGGCATCTTCGGTCTCAGTCCTTGCTCGCTCAAGGCTATCCTGAAGATCTTCAATTTTGCTTCTGGCATCTTCAAGCTCTGTCTCCAAATCGGCCATATTGGCGTTTTCATCAGCATGTTTAGATTGAAGATTGTCAATCTCTTCCTCCTTTTCCTCAATGCGCCTGTCTTTTTCTCGAATGGTATATTCCAACTCATTAATTTCTTCCCTTAGGTTGGCAGCCTCCTCCGCCCGTTTGGATTCCACTGATCTTAATTGTTCCTGAAGATCCGCTATATCCGCGTCTTTGGACTCCATTTCTTGACGCATCCATTTTATTGTTTCCTGAGATGTGCCGTCGGACTGTTTTGAAGTCAGCTTCGCACGGAGCTCCTGGAGCTGAAGCTGACAGGATTCCAGGTCACGTTCAGCATGGATAAGGCTCTTTTTGCATCGATGCAAATCCCTTTGTACGGTGAGCTTCGACACTTTCAGTTCCGTATTTTCTTTTAGGGCGGCTTGGTTCAACTCAGGCCCGGCCTTTCGTAGCTGTTCCTCCAAATAATGTATTTTCAACTTGAGTCCAAAATTCTCCTTATCAAACTTGTTGATAATCTGTAAAGAAGAAATGTTAGTACAGATTCTTCCACCTACATAGCAGCCGTCTATGTTCATGGAAAGGGCAAGATGAGAATCCGTACATTTTCTTGTTCCCTCAAAGTCATATTCTGTCCATCACAAATTACCCCACCCGCGCCATCTCTCTGGGGGAGTGTAGGTAATGGGGTACTCTGACCGCTGCTTGGTGCACCCTGAGGCACAGGAGTTGCATCATAGGCGGAGCTATTCATGGAAGCTCCTTCGTATATATTGCTTTCATCTATTTTCGATAGCGCGGGCGTGGCCGGCACACCTCGAGCGCGATCACCACCAGTTCGCAAGAAGTTATTCTTCGTAACGCTATTCATGAGGGGAGTAAACTCCCCCTTGGGTAATGCTGAATTGGGCAATGTTCGTTTATCGAGTCTGGCTGATTTAAGAATTTGGCTTGCTCGAGGGGTTCGAAGTGAGACTCTGCGTTGTCGATTGCGCGAATCGGATGTTTCACGTAATATATCGTGATCTTTCGTTGGCGATACAAACGAATTCTCAACTGAGTCCAGTGCAGAAAGGTTATGGCGTGTTGCGCTTCGCTGTCCCTGGCTGATAAAGGTCGCGTTTCCATCCACTTCGGTGCGTGGAGTGTCGATATAGGGAAATGCCATGTTGACAGCTCGGGGTACTAACTAGCGCGCTTAGACCTGTAAATCATTAGCCGGTCGGCCACGCGACACTTGATCTTATATTAAAGATAACCAAGTTGGAACACCATCGTGGAATCGAAAAAGGGATCAAAAGCCGAACCGTGAATTTTTTGGCGAGTTTGTGACGTTGTTTACATATAGCTCTTTTTGGTTTAGCGTCATACTTATGGATTTATATAATCCCGAAGGCTCCGATGAGGTCATCAAAACTCTAAAATATCCCAAAAAAAAAAAAAAGAAAAGAAAGAAAAGCGACCAAAAAATATAGAGAAAAGACGAGATGTAATAGACACACAAGAGACTCGAAGACGACTTGAGCGACAGAGGGAGTACGAGATATGGCCGGTCCTACTGAAGAAGACATTGCGTGGTTCCGGTCTACGTTCCGACCGATTCCTAAACCTCAGCTCCCCGATGACTGTGTGGAGTACTCGCTGTACTGGATTCCGGTGACCAGCACTCCCGCAGGAGATGTGGACTCAACAGATTCAACCCGAAATTTTCTGGTTGAAGTGCAGAAGTACGCGTCGGGATTAGTGAAACAGTATTTGCAGAACTACATATGGCAGAGAGATAATTTTAAGCTGGAACTTACAAAGGAGGATGGTAATTTCGTTTTATTTCTCTCCTCCGGTTTAATACAATTTTCTATACCATACTAACCGGTATGTCAATCATCTAGGCATACATTTACTTCGCGGAAGAACCGAATATGGAGATTCAATCGAAGATGAATGGGTCATTGTATATCTCCTTCGCGAGGTTTCACGAAAGTTTGATGACATCTGGGTGAAGGTAACAGATAGTGATGGTGAATTTTTACTAGTAGAGGCCGCGGCAGCATTACCTGCTTGGTTAGAGCCTGAAATAGCAGATAACCGGGTAAGGCAAACAGCGTCAACTTCTAAATGGATTTGTATATTCATACATGCTAATCCTTGATTTAGGTCTGGATCAACAAGGGAGAACTAGTCATCATTAAGCCTGGAGCGCCCACAACTGCTATGGAAAAAAAGAAAGGCAATGTTGAGAAGCTGACTTTCCGCAACGCGAGGGACATCGTCACCACTGAGCCCAAACGGTTGATGCGGTCACCCACAATTGAGGAAGAGGCCTTTTATAGACTCCGGAACTACCCAAATCAAATTGAGAATAACCTGCATTCCTCTCTGGTTACCATTCCGCGAAAGATCGCGCATTTACTACGGACTAGGCCGGGGTATATATCTTCGGCTATAGAAGCCTTTTATCTCCGGGACCCTATTTCACTTCGGCCGTTACAGGGCAAAGATTCAAATAATTTAGTATTTGAACCTACAGATTTTGTCACAGTCAGTGTCAAGTTCACAAAGGTTGGGTTTGCCCAGTTGAAAAGTCAGGATTTTCCAGCACCAGCAAAATGGAAGGGACGTGTTCCCACAACCAAAAACTCAAAGGATTCTGAGCGTGCCGATATGGGAATGAAACTGGCTTGCGGCTTTGAAATGCTCTTATCTGACCCCCAGAACCGTGATAAACAATATGTGCGGGAAATGAAACTTATTCTCGAAGATGTTGACACAGGGGAAGAGGCCCTTCCTACGGATACGGAAATAAAAACTTGGGATATGGTAGATGATGATGAATCGTGGCTTGACATTGGCTTCGAAGACCTTGAAAGTGAGCTAAAAGGAAGAGGTAGTGGGGAAAAGGCGAAAAGGGGTGGTGACTTCGGTGACAAAGCTGCACAAGAAAATTTGCAAAGAATAGTCTCAAAGTTTGAGGAATTTCTAAATGATGATACCGCCGGTTACGATGGAGCAGGGCTTATTAACGAATTCGGATCAGATGACAGTGAGGGTGACACTGACGAGGAGTTCAGCAGCGACGGTGAGGATAAGGAGGCTTCATTTGATGAGGAGGAATTTTCAAGAATGATGAAGGAGATGATGGGCATGCCAACTGCCTCGAACAAGGGGTCCTCATTCAGGCCCAAACGCATCCAAGATCTTGACGGGGGATCCAGTGATGGTAACGATGATTCAGGCGAAATCGAAGATATGTCTAAGAAGATGGAAGCGGAATTACGGCAAGCCGGGTTTTTTGATCAATTCAACTCCAGGAAGGCTGCCAAGGGGAAAGCTCCTATAAAGGGCAATGAGGATAGTAGCGTCCATCAAGATGAGAGTGATGATGAGGATGATCTTGACGAGAACGAAATCGACATCAACCTGGCAAGGAATCTACTCGAGAGTCTTGGAAGTCAGGGTGGCTCGTCTGGCCCTGGAAGCAATATGTTGGGTATGATGGGGATGAAAATACCCAAAGGCGACCGGAAATGATATGAGCACTTATGTGTAAGTGTATAACCCTGCGATTGCTCTTGCAAAGATTGATGGCTGGAGGGCCTATTAATCGTTTCCCAACAAATATGGAAACCTAAGCCCGGCACCAAATATCCTTGAGGTTCTACACACGGTTTCCTACTGCTATCCCTTCAACCTCGGATATGAACACTATCTTCTGCAGAAAATTGATACCCCTATGCACCCGGAATACCCTGAAACTTGAATAGCTACCGGTGGCTCATATTTCTGCCCATCGGCCGTATGAGTGCCGGACATGTTGCGTGTATCACTTTGTTAGGCGCTGAATCACCTGACTTTCAGGTATTGACAGGCCTGGAGTGGTCGAATGCCAGCCAATAAATGGCCATTCATATTCCGTGTTTGATGCTAATACTGGGTATAATGTGGCTGGAGGACTCAGATAAAGACACAAGCATTTGTTCGGAGCTATGGAGAAGATCCTATGTATGAAGAGAACTTGCATAAGAGTAGGCCATATTCCTGCCCAACAAACTCCTCACCCAGTCGCCAGCCTTTCCACTTCGACATAACTGGGGATTCCTACCCGCTAGTATAGCGCCCACTATATTGCAGTCCATCAGATAGGCCCTGTTGCTATGTACCCAAAACCACAGTATACTATGATATACTATTATGACGAGGGTGCCTTTTCCAAAAAGTACAACACATACCCTTGAGGCTTGGATCAAACGCCGCGTATATATGGGTAGCTGTTCATCTTTCTAACGGCTTAATATTGAATTCTCCCCAGCTTTTGGACTTGGGCAAGTGCTTGTCTGCGTCTCCCATTGCCTAGTTCGCTATAAATACCCCGTATAGTTAGCAGTCAGTGGAAGGAAAGCCTATGAATGGCATGAGGTCCAAATGCTAGCCTAAGCAACTCCCTAGATCGGCTCAGATGACTGTGAAGATGGAATGCCTACAAGCTGCTTTTCATGTCGAGCTTCCGTGTCAACGTTGAGTGGAAATAGCATATTAAAGGCAGTTTTACTCCACCCGTAGGCGTACCACCTGCTATGTGTCTTCCCGTGCTATGCTTACCCCTCCCTGGCCGGTGATCTGTCCCAGTCCATACCGCTACTGACGTTGGCCCGCCAATACAAGGCGCCGGACATGGTGTTGTTAGGCAGCCAGCCGCAAGCCAGGCTCATGCGACCAGCGCCAAGACGTGATGACTAAGCGCGACTCATGACGTCTGTCCTCTTCCAGTTGCAAAAAGACTTTTCCAACTTCAACTCTTTCTCAACGTCCACTTTCGCCTTGATCCGCCATAATAATTGCACAGGCTGCAGCACCAGCGGCTCTCCAACTATAAAGGAGGGCGGGATACAACCGAAACTCCCTTGCGGAGATCACGCCGGGAAACACTGCAAGTACAGGCCAAAACCCCGGGGAAAGCGCCCTCTCTTCCGCTCTTGCTCAGCCTGCAATCATCTGGTGGCCAGGCTTCCCTATTCTCCTGCATCTGTTGACATGATATAATTTCCTCCTGTCTTCTGTTAGCTGCCGACTCATTTATACATCAGTTCTACTCAGCGTCCTTAAAAGGCAAGGGAGTTTTATTATCTCACCTTTCAACTGACATCGCTCTTCAAATATGGCTACTCCTGCACAATGTTATTTTTGCTTCGAAACGCTAGCAGCCTCTTTTGATGGAGGTAAACCTCCAAAGCTCTCTGTAGTAGAAGAGTTATGGGCAGAGTTTGAAACTGCAAAGGCTCTTACTTTACGTGCAGCAGACAATGAAGACTTGGAGGGAGGAGACTCTGTTGAACCTCCTGTAGACACTGATGGTCAAGAGCCGCAGGATGATATGGACAAAGGACAACCATGCTCGAGCACCTTACAGCCACCTAGTATTCGCCGTCTTCAAAGTGCGGCTTCGTCGGGTTCCTCCAGTGTATCGACCTCAACACCACCAGCACTATCTACCAGTTCTTCTCGCTCCGCACTGACGAGCAATACTTCTATATCTTCTAGCCCTAGCCCTAATACTTCATCTATCTTTTCTCCGCCCAAACCGAGCTACAGCGAGACCCTTCGCAGTACCCCTCCGGATGCATCATACCCACTCTTTGTGACTTGGAACACCGTCTCCAGGAGTGGCCATAAGTCCCTTCGGGGCTGTATTGGCACTTTTGATGCCCAGGAGCTTAGCTCTGGTCTGAAATCATATGCGTTGACATCGTATGGAACCACGTACAAGGAAAGTCTACTTAAAAATATAACATGCTAACTCACAACCATCTAGGGCATTTGGAGACACTAGGTTTTCCCCGATACCATTACAGCTTCTTCCCTCTCTTTCCTGCTCTCTTACTCTTCTCTCAAACTTTGAGACTTGTTCTCATGCGCTTGACTGGGAGCTAGGGACGCATGGGATCCGCATATCGTTTGTTCACAGGGGCAGGCGATACGGGGCCACATACCTTCCAGACGTTGCCATCGATCAGGGGTGGACGAAGGAGGAGACCGTTGAGAGCCTGATGAGAAAGGCAGGCTGGGAAGGAGCCTCGAGTGCTGGCAGTGTCACTCGTCGGTTCCTCCGGTCCGGGAGCTCTAGCGGTGGGAACCCAGACAGGCCTTGGGAAGGCATGTCTGAATTTAAGACAGTCAGATACCAAGGTCTCAAAGCCAGTGCATCATATTCTGAATGGCAAGAGTGGAGAAAGTGGGTTGAATCTTCTCCTGACCATTTAGCTACCTTAGAGGCGTCACGTTAGGAGGGTGATGAATGGGTGTTTTCAAAGGACAACTATATACTTTATGACTTTATCCTAATTATACGAAGTATGGCAATAACAATTTTCTATTAAAGCCCCGGACTCACTCTTTCATGGTCATAAAAGTATTATTTCGGGCAACTAACTGGCCAAGCAAGAAATTCGTTGTTGCTTACCACGATGTGAACACGGCACTCCGCATTTCCGTGACCCCCTGGCCATGCTGTTTTATGCTGACAAGCTTCGCCAACGAGAAGATGAAGTCTCAGAGAATCAACGCCATGTACTCAGTAGAATCCCTTGTAAACTGGTCCAGCACCAACTCTCCGCCGTTACATTCACCCTAATATACTAACCGTGGCATAAGAAACGTCAGCCAATCGATTGTAGGCATAACCGACACATAATTTCATATTCTCTCGTTCTCTCAATGGTGTCGTGTGAGGGGTTATTTGAAAGCTTGGGGTACTTTTAATCTCACCATCTTCCCCCAGATAGGTATTCTTCTCCGTGTGGTACTTAATCTACTCGTTATGAAGCTATTTATAACTACCCAGTGGGCCAGCAGACTAACTACTGATCTCTGCAGCAAGGCAGACAAAAAGTACATGTCTGGGAGGTGCTTTAATTACTCCGTACAGTGCGATTTGTTGAGGCTCGTAACAACCTGGCAGGTAGAGCTGAAAGGCTCAAGCCATCCCCATAAAATGAGAAAAGAGGGCTTATTGATTGCTGGGCAAACGTGGTCGATGGCCCCCTACTGGTGATATTCCAGCATAATACGAACGATCGCCGTGGGCCTCCATAACTTGTTACTTGCCAACGAACTAAACAGTACACTAACTACATAGTTAACTAGTTAACGAGTGAGTTAAATGAAACCATGTTCAGCCTTGAGCCTCAACTGCTGGTCTATGGGGTATCGAGTACTCCAGAGTTCATACGCTGTATGTCACCCTTGTTCTACAACTCCCCTCCCCCTTGCTGATGATTCTGAAGACAATGAGCTCGTCAATTATGCGAATAGCACCCAGCGGAGATTCTCCGGAAATATCTTAAAAATACTCAGAAATACCAACATCCAGTGCAGAACGCTATGGACACGAGAAAAGTGGATCGCCAGGAGACCTGGAGAGAATTACCGCGTGCAAATTCTAATATTAGAAAACTCCGCGATTTCCGGCTGGTCAGGTCAGTGATGAAGATATACGGAGTGTCATTCTTGCACTCTCTGGATATCTTCTAGTCCAGGGAAGGAAAATGCCAAACAAAGCGCACGGGAGTATACGAGTCAGATCTCCATTCGGGAGTGCATTTTCGAATCCTTCAATCATAACACCTGAATCTAACCCATCGCGTCGTCCATTGCTGTGATATCCCGCCTGCATGTCTCCTTGCAGAGCGGAATTCAGGCGTCCTACGCTAATAGTAGTACTTGTTCTCGTGTTTGAAAGGCAATGTGCATATGAAGTCGGGAGCAAGCAGGCTATACGATATTTAATAGTTAAGTAACGGCAGGGATCTACCGGCTATCACCCAAGCTTCAGCTTCTTGTCAAGAGTGTGAAACTTGGCTGTTCGTTGAGTGGAACGTACCAATGAATGGGCTTCCCAGTCCTCTCCCAGCAGCATGAGAGACGACATGATGCCCGTATAACCCGGACCGCAGTCAAAGACGAATAGTAGGGCAAAAAGAAAGGTAGGGGACCCGAAGTGAAATATATAAAGGAGCAGGTTCACCCCGTTCATCTGCTTCTTTCCACCAGACCAACAACATAAATCGAAAAGCCCAACAATTTGAAACCAGCTAAATCCTTTCGATCAGAAAATATGAAGGTGAACTTCATCTTTCTTGGTGATTATATCCCACGCACTGACTTGGGTTCATTATAGCTCACTACCGTCTTCGCTCTCGTTGCCTTTGTGCCTGCCTGCCTTGCAGCTGCAACTGGTGCTGAAAGTCCTGTAAGTAAGGTGGTCCATAATATATCATTGGATGTTTTGCTAACAAACGGGTGGGTGTTTATAGCTTGAGAAGAGAGCCTGTCGCCCAAGCAATTGTCTATGCAACGGAATTCAGGGACAGTTCTGCGGCAACGAGAGAGTCAACCCTGCCTGCACTAACGGTCATGTTTTTGAATGTGCTAAGAAAACCGGCAAGGCCTGCGACTATGGTGTCAGAACCTCTTGTCGCAAGTGTGGAAAGCTCAGCTGCTAGGCGTTGGATGTATATAGGCCTCATGTGTCTGGTTGAGCAGAGCCAGAGGGTGTGAAACCCTTGCTAATCCTGTTTATTTTGATAGCCAAATGGATCAAGTTTTCCAGCATGCTCTGACAGTTCAAGCAGAAGTGTAAGAGTGGGTCAGTGCTTTAAGAATATAGCAGTACGACGTAATAGTTATCCATATTATCGATGAATGTTAGACCCATCCCTTGAGGCCATAAGCATAATTGCGGTATGGAAGTGCTAAGGAGTTTGCTAGGCCAACTCCTGCCTCCGTGTAAGAAACGGCAGATAATTACGAGTAACAAACTTTGGGGAATAAATCCGTAAGAAGGCAGAGCTATAGGGCTTATCAGTTATGTGCACTGAAAGCAAAAGCTCGTTTGATTCCACGGTTAGGGGAGGCTATGGGTATCATGATAAGGTGAACGAGGCCGACTGAGCAGAAATCATAACCCCAAGGGGAACTAGAACTAGCCATCTTGACCAGGTGACAGCATGAATAGCAATTGCTAACTGCATACGGGACAGTTGTGGTCAGCTGGGTATGGCACTACGCCCGCCGGATTGGGATGTTCCAGCTCTGCCAAAGATTTACTGTTGGTTTAAACTCGAGAGAATACCTACCTCTAACTAGTTAGTTAGTTAGTATCAGAAAGGAGGATGATGATATTGAGGATCTATCAAATGTGCTAAGAAAGGTGTAGCGAGATAGGATGACTAATACAAAAACTGACAGTTTGTTAGTTAACTAGTAACCCACGCGAATGCGAAACACCACGTGACACGCAACCTAGGGTAGGTTCCATGGCCCCCGGCTCGAGCCGCAACCACCTTTTGGCTCTCGAAATCTAAAGGTGTTACTTGTGGTCTCTTCAGCTTCATATTATCATCTATGTAAGCGTATACAATATACTACAATGCCAGTACAATGTATTTCCTCTCACTCCTCCACTTTAGCAATAGCTAGATATACTGCCAATTCCAAGTTGTAGTTGGCTTAGAGGCTGATTTGAGCGTTGTTCTAAGTTTACGCTTCCTTGCCGTCCAAGTTAGTTATCTCGCTAACTACTAGTTAGACTAACTGTATATTGCTTGTCTCGATATGCATAATACCGTCTCTAGGAGTTGAGTTTCATTAGAACAAGGCATTTCAACCAGCGGCATATGGAGTTACACTTGATCTTTCGAATATATATCTATTGCGGGTTGGAAGCTACTAAGGTGAATCTTGCGCGTATTAGACCTGTAGTTAGCTAGCTAAGACCTATTCTTCTTATCCAATGGCAGCTAAATAATAACTCCGAGGGCTACTGTTACCTAGCTGTGTGTAGCCCCTGCACAAAGATTAGAAGAAGGAAAAATTAATTACCATTGTTAGTTATTTTACCGCCGTCCAGCAGCAGACTGGTTCCACAACCCTGTAACCACGTTTTTAACTCTCTTCTCTTGTTCTCTGATCTGCTCCTCAGTCTGGCCCCTAGCGTTTCCCCTACTATCAATCTCCATATGGCCATCGTGACCTCCGTTCTCGGGCGTAACCTGATCGCCATTGACCCTTTCTGGTCTTGGATCAATGCTCATTGCACCGTCCATCATCAAGCCGCCGCCTTCTCTCAACTTGTTGATAGCACGAACGGTATCAATGGCCTTGTGCAATGTACGCCGGGCATTGAAGTTCTTCTTGACAACTGGTAGGAGGTCCTCACCAGTACCAGTTTTTCCAGTGGCTTCGGGGTTCAATGGATCGGCTGGAGGGTTAATCCAAGGGTGCTGTAGGGCTTCATGAGAGGTAATACGAGCAAGAGGGTCAGTTGTAAGGCATCGATTAATGAACTCGCACGCAGTGGGAGATACATTGCGCCAGTAGTCTTCTGGAGTGAATGAGTAATCGGCTACCAAAATGGCCTGCATCTCTTCAACGTTGGAGTCACGGTCAAAAGGCATATAACCACAGAGGAGGAAGTAAGTGATAACTCCAATAGCCCAGATATCCCTGCAAATAGTGACACATTAGCAATCTGAGTTAGCGTATTAGAGAACACATTCTGTTCTTACACAGGCTTTCCATGTCCACTCTTTTTGAAAATCTCTGGGGCCATGTACCCTGGGGTGCCGCATGTGGTTGTCAAGACATGGAACTGCTCTTCATCCATTATCCTCGAAAGTCCAAAATCGGCGATTAGAAGGTCGGCATTATCTTCTGGTGTACGGAACAGGAGATTCTCTGGTTTTAAGTCCCTGTGGACTATTCCATGATCGTGAAGGTATGCTACCGCGGATAGTGTTGCACGGATAAGGTCAGCTGCATCGGACTCGTAGTAGCTTCCTTTTCGGCAAATTCTATCGAACAGTTCTCCTCCCAAGGCTAGGTCTGTGACGAGGTACACTGTACATTATTGAGTTAAGAATGGTTCCCTACCATTAGGCTTTGATAGTGTACGTACGATTGTTCATGGTCTCGAAATAGTCCACCAGGGTAAGGATATTCTGGTGTCCCATAGACACCCTCTTCAGTACGGCAATCTCATTTCGAACCTTTGGTTAATGAACCAGTCAGCTCCTCTGGAATAGAGCCAAAGAACAGTATTTTTGACCGTGAACAACTACGTACCATGTGCTCTCGTCCAGTCATCAACCGTTTATTGATAACTTTTGCAGCGTAATACCGGCCAGTATCAATGTGGACACACTCTTTCACGACAGAATAAGACCCAGCTCCTAGTGTCTTCCCTGTTTTATACCTGCATGGCTGGACTTCGGTTTTCGGCCTGCTTGCCTCTGGGTGGCCCTGAGCAGCCATTGGGCCAGGATGTCGATTGAAACTTGCTGAGAGTACGGCGTAAGAGGGAACCGAGAGCTGGATATTCGCTTTATAGAGGGTTTATAGTCGGTGAGATTTGGCCCTTGCCTGACACTCGGCTTCCTAGCGAAGGAGTAGTTGTACTCCGTAGGGGAGGTGTGATCGCAGGCGGGGTAAGTTAACGACCAACCCAGGAGTATTTCCCACAAGCAAAACCAACAATAAAGACGGGAATCTGTCTATAGCTTTAAGAAAATCGCAGCCTGCGCAGTCGAATAATAGGGGAGTATAAGATAAAGCCGACCTGTTAAGGGTTGGTGGACTCAAAAGTGGTTCGACAAGTTGGAAGTTGTCGCGGCGGAGTTTTGCCCCACGCCATTTTGGGACAAGCCTCGGACAGGCTAAAAAGGGGAAAAGGAGACGACTCTCGATTTGTACCTTATACAACATACATATATACTCCCGTATAGCATAGCCCAGTGATATACCTTGAATGTGACGAGGAATGCAGGGGTGATAGATAAAGGCAAAACAGTTAAACCCCTTTTCCACATCTCCTTGCCTCCGTGAACGCCAGCACGTAACTAAATACATAAAACACGGCTCATGCAACAAACCCATTACTAGAGCCAGCCACGCTCTACAAGTATCTAACCATTATTCAGTATCATAGATATCATGACCATCCCGCTCATATGCCTTCCAAAACGCCTTTCGTAACCATAGACAACATCTTGAAACCGTAAAAATCTGCTATGCTTTTGTATACCCGAAGCCTTTTCTCCGTGGCACGCCTGTCAATAGTCTCAACCCACTCACCGCTGCATGAACAGTGTTCCATGAATGGATTAATCATTATACCAGCACATTTTGCGCATTTGAGGTCTTGTGCTTGCCACTCCATCACAAGGCCTTGAACTTCGCCAATAATCCTCTCTTCGAGGAATAGCCGATCGTACTCAGTAGAGCAGTAAGGGCAAGTCCATGGAGGAAGAGTTGTCGACACCTTATTCTCCGTTCCACTCTCAGGAAGCAATTCGGGGTCACGGCAGAGGTCCAAATCCCGGGCCATAGTACAATTGTGGCATATTATCTGCGACAGAACTAGGCTTGAGCTTGGGCTTTCGAACTTTCCTTCATCACTAAACTCGCGGATGTCGAATAGGGCAAGGAGATCTCGGCGGAGAAGTCTCACTTCCAATGCTGTGTATTTAGACAGCCCAAGGACCTGCATGAGATATTTAACCAACTCTAGGGCTGGGTTACGTTCATGCTTCGGAGGCATTGCCCCAGGGAGTACAGGGAAATCATAGTCAGAGGCAAGCTCAGGGTGCAGCATCTCGTCACGCTGTCGACGAATCAAGCCAGCTACCTGTTTTTTTAGTGCTTTGGAGAACGATTGGCTCAACACGGAAGTTATCTCGACGCTCTCACTCTCGTCTTCAGGTCGGAATGGAAGCTGTGTCTGCCGAGGAGTTCCATCAGCTCCACCATTCACCGGAGCAGGCTTCTTGAGTCCATGCATTAATTCGACGTACTCCACAATCCAGTCTACAAACACAGACTGCAGGGGGGTGGGTAAAAATCTGCAAATCTGCCAGTTCATGATGGCTTCCAGCTCTTGCTTATCGGCCTCCACAACCTCCTGACATGCTTTGCCTCCGTAATTGAACTGATCATACCATATCAAGTAATCCCAGTATTCCTTGATGTCAATGTCAAGGAAGTGGAATAACGGCTTTTCCTTGATAGATTGAAGGATATATTTGCTGTAGGCGTAGGCGTTTCCAACCTCAGTTTTTGTGGTCTGAAGGATCAACCTGTTCGGGTTTGCGTAAATAACGTTGGACCCAACTCGTTTGAAGGCCATGATAAGCTGTTGCAAAGCCTTTTTTAGAATCATCTGCATGTACTGATGTAGTGCGTGATCATATAAGCAGCAATCAGCGCTCTCCACCCATCGAATAAGGTGCTGGACCATTACGTCCGCCATGCCGTTGCCCTTACAGGCTTCATTCCACCATGATTTCACCATATCTCGTAATACAAGTATACCCGCAGCAGAAAACGCAGTGTCTGAATACAAAACACCTGATCCATCCGAAATAGTTTGTTGACCTCCTGGAGCCGTGGGATTGAGTAACGCAGGTTCATTGTTCTCGAGATCGCTAATAAGGGAAGACGTGAGCACGGTATTGATTGCAAGATTTCTAACCTCGAGTTCAATACAAACGGTGGAATATGCACCAGCTATATTGACAGAAGTCATCTCAACCGAATTCAGCGGACCAAGTATGTTGTCCTTTTCGTATCCGCCATGATCTGGAAGAGGACTGGCAGACCACCATAAAACTACATTGTTCTGCTCGAGCTGCCGAGCATAAAGGATATCAATCAAGTGTTTAGGATCATCTTTCTCCAAATTGCCGATCGGGACATTGCCGTATCTCGCAAACCCCAATAAGTGGTTGATCCAGGAATCCAGCGCCAGATAATGCACCACGATTTGTCTTGCGGCGTACGGTTGCCAGCCCAATGGCGGTAGTTCATTATCCGAAGCATTGGATCTGAGAGATACCATGGGATAATCCTTTAAAGACGATATTAGACGCGGAAGCTGCCGACTTTTGGGTGACTGGACTACAACCATCAGTGGCATAGTATTCTCATTGCGGAACTTTTTAATAATGTCACCAACTTCTAAATGGGCCTTTCGCTTCGTTGTAACTTGTGTGGTCTTGAAATGTAGCTTATCCTGGTACTGGAATACTTGCTGCCATGTTTCACTATTTTGCTCGTCCACTTTCCGTTGAAGAGCCTCTGTGAAGATTTTGTCGACATTGGGAAACCCTTGTATGTCCCTCTGTTTTGTGTATGTGACAATGTGAGCTTCTCTAGATTTGGTGGAGAAAACCGAGAATATCTCGCGCTCGCCAGAGACTATATGATAGAGCAGGACGTATTGAAATTCTGCTCCTTCAAGATATACACCCGGTTCTGGAGCTGGGAGAAGAGTTGATAAATCAAAGCCACGCTCCAAACCTTTGCCGAGAACTCCTCGCTGCTCTTCATCGAAGGTGCAATGGTTTCCAAGTTTGAGGACGGCCCGAATGTTGAACGGCACTTTCTTCTCATACACTCCTTCAACACTTGGATGGTTAAGTAGTAGTGATATCTTTGACGCTTCTCTTAAATATGTCTCTTCCGGCATGCTCAGTTGGAAAAGATGGACGGAAGGGTGGCCGTTTGGCAGCGTGTGGTTGACTTTCTGCACAGTACAGCCAGTTATATCAACATCTGGAAGATCGACATCTTTGAAATTGATAAATATTTGGCGTGGGATTTTGATATTAATGGTGTGCACTTTCCGATCAATCAGGACAAATGCTCTCACTTCACCCGGGCTGCTAGTCTCCCTAAGTTGTAATATCTGCCAGGTATTGACGTAAGTCAGTTCAGCCTGATTTCGGAAGAAACTGCCAATTGAATCAGAAGCTGCGGTTTTCTTAGCACCAAAGAGCTTGCGGCGACGGAGGCGTGCTTGTTTCTGGATCTTCCATTTCTGTTTCTGGTAGCGTAGCCAGTCCTCATAGTTCTTATCTATCGAAGGCATTACCGGCGGGAGACTGGCAAAAGGGTCTTGGGATGTAGTGTTGTCTCCTGGGGTTTTCCGTTTCTGAATGAGCTTGTTCCCCGACTGTGTACCTGGTTTCTGATTTCGACGTTGCATCATGTCTTCGATATCAGCAGTAGAAGGAATACGATGATCCATAATATTTGTTGAGATATTTGCTAGTGGATTTTTGGTGAAGAGATCGGTCATTTTCCTTTGCTTGAACCTGTCTTCCTTGGTATTGATCCGTCGCTGAAGCCAATCCGGGTGAGCAACTCTTGGGACAGGATTGGAAATTTTCTGTAGAGCAGCGGGTATAGTTATCAATTTCTGAATCACAGATCCCAATCGTTCTAGGTAGTAATCCCAGTCAATTATTGTACGCGGGTCCATATCTCCAGGGTCCTCTTTCAGCCATTTGCGCAGGAAAAATCGTTTAATATTTTCCTCGGCTGAAAATATAGCAACGGGCACAGCTCTTTCCGTGATAGGGGAGTTTCTGGGTGCTGCAGAAATGATATACTTGCAGTTTAACCCTTTATCTTTGATCATTTGCTCCCCTAGGAATTCAGCAAGCCGTTTGGCAGTCGTGATTGACGTAGATTTTTGACCCCCGTATTCTTCAATGGTTTTGGACATACTCCTATTCTCACAAATCATATCGATGAGCTCCTCGTCTGCTAGTGTTGAGCCATGCATATCCAAAACATCCAGCCATCTGTTCGCAACCTCAGCCACAGCCCCATATGTCTCTTCAAGTGTAGTTCCTTCGAGAAAGAACTTGAAAATCTGCGTCTGGAACACCTTGATAAGTTTAAGCTCTCCTCTTCGTTTGACTTCAAACCCTTTCAATTCAGCAAGGGATCCATCGTGGTTGAACACAGCATAACGCTTTTTCAAGTTTTTATCCTCTTCCTTTGAGGTTGGTAGAATCATTGCTCTATAAGGGCCGTCAACTTCGAAAAAGATGGAGTTATCACTGTGAGTTGTGTATTTGAACGTAGAAGGATCCGAAAGAGTCTGATACTGGTGGTTTGTAAATCGACCATGAACTAGGTGGTTCAACATAACGCAGGGGTATGAAATGGCGAGCTTTTTGCCATTTACAAGTTTGAACACGAAGTTCTCTGGGAAAGTGCCTGGTAACATGCACCAAATACCATCTGTATCAAGCTCTAAGGGACGTCCAATCCGCTCCACTAGTTCCCTTGCCATTTGAATGATATGTGCTCCAGTCAAGCAGGTAACACCAGCCATCTCCATAGAATACCACCGAGAACCTTTCCTCATCACATAGCCATAGAAACTGTTCAGAATAACTTTATGGGCAAGCTGGAGAGAGTCAAAGAGAACAACCATTTTTTTTGCTTCTTCAATTTCCGAATTC